CAGAGTAGTTGGGTTGTTGATTATGCCTCTAAAATGTCTTTGACATCCACCCCATTAATTCAGGTTTTCATTATATTTCACCTGAACTATTTAGTCAAGGAAGGAGCCTTATGGAAAAACCTCATGAAATAAAAATTTCCTTCAAATTCAAAACCAAAATAACTGTGCATATGTACACATGTGGTATATATATTTTTGTATATATGTATGTATGTACACACACATACATACACATATCCTACCTCTGATATATACTGGCTGTGTGGCCTTGGGCAAGTAACTGCCTAACCCCTCAGTGCTCTAAGCTAGAAAATTCTTTAAGATTTTAAATTTCTTAGAAAGTGCCAAACTGTATTGATAAAGGGAGGCTTCTTTATCCAGGATTTCTCTATATTAATGAAATCATAGATCCAGTCCCTATCCCTGACTATCCATATTTACAAGTAGATGCATACTTCTATATACACATACATGTTTGTGTTATTTTTAACAGACTGGAGTAATTTACAAAGATGTGGGTTCAAAGTTGTGCCTGTGATACACACTAGCTAGTATAGCATAAGCAAGCCACCTAATTATTAATTATTAATACCCCAGGTAATGCTCTAAGACTTTCAGTTCCAGATCTTTTAGTGGAGGTTGGGCCCCATACCAATAAAATCATAGGTCTAGAACAGAAGAAAAAAAAAGCAAAATGCATTTATTTCTAATTATTTTCAGGTTTAAAGTCCATGAAATAAAAAGATAATGAATGTTTAAAATAATCTTCAATAAACCAGTTCAAATTGCCCACCACATCATAGATATTTTGATTCTTTCACATAGCTTCTGAAATTGAATATTTTATCAATTAAATTGATTTTAAAAGATACTGGGTCTGTCTCCATTTTACCTTAGTCTTGTCCCTTATTTTTTACAGATTTATACTGAGGTTAGTGCTACTAGGATATCAGGGAGGTGATAGGGCAGTTAATGCTTGTCTCATAACCCTAAAATTTAAGTGAAATAAAATAAGCAAAGATGAGAAGGTAGACTAGAAATTATTAACTATGTGACCTCGGGCAAGTCATTTCTCTTCCTCTGAACCAGTTTCCTCATTTGTAGAATCAGGAAGTTGGGTAGATGATCCTAAGACCTCTTCCAATGTGAACATTCTATGGTCTATGACCTGACTTATGGATGGAGTGCCAGTTTCATTTTTCAGCACCTTTCTTTGAGCATTCTCTTTCTCCAGCAGGGGGCAGGGGGTGGGAAGGCTAGAGATGTTTTCACTCATGAGTCAGCCCAGAAAGGTTGCATAGAAGTAAGAATGAAAATTCTAAAGGAGAGAGTGTTGACTTGGTGTTTTCTACAATGCTGTTTTAAAAAATCAATTCAATTTTTAAATTTTCAGTTCTGAATTCTTTCCCTCTCATCTCTCCCTTTGAAAAGGCAAGACATAGAGTTGTGAATATGGTCACATAAAACAAATACCCACATTGGTCATGCCCCCCAAACCAAACCAAAACAAAAGAAAGCAACTTCACTCTGCACTGAGTCCATCAGTTCTCTACCTGAAAATGGATAGCACTTTTCATCATGAGTCCTTTGCAATTGTGGTTGGTAATTGTGTTAATTAGTTACCAAGTCTTTCAAATCTGTTCATCTTTACAGCATTGTTGTTATCATATAAATGATTCTCCTGGTTCTACTCACTTAACTTTACATTGGTTCATACAAGTGTTCAAAGGCTTTTCTGAAACCAATTCATTCCTTGTTTCTTGCAGCACAAATAGTATTCCATCACCTTCAAATACCATAAATTATTTTTATCTTTTTACTTTTATTTTCAGTTTCAAATTCTCTTCTTCTCTCGCGCCCCCCAACATTGAGAAGGCAAGAAAAGACAAAACCCATTACAACATGTGTAGTCATGCAAAACAAATTGCTACCTTAGCTGAGTGGAAGAAGGGAAGGAATGAGAGAAAGAGAGGGAAAGAGAGGGTGGAGGAGAGAGAGAGAGAGAAGGGAGGGAGGAAGGAAGGAAGGAAGGAAGGAAGGAAGGACTGTCTGGAGATGGGTAGCATGTTTCATCATGAGCCCTTTGAATTGTACATATATACCATTATTATTCAGCCATTACTCAATTGATGGGCACCCCTCAGTTTCCAATTCTTTGCTACCACAAAAAGAGCTGCTATAAATATTTCATACATATGGGTCCTTCTCTTTCTTTGATCACGTTGGAGTATAATACAGTGATATTCATAGAAACATCCAAACTTTTTAAAAAAAATAATGTTTTTTTTCCTCAACTATGTGTAAAAACATTTTTAACACTTTAAAAAAAGTTTTGATTTCCAAGTTCAGTTTCTCTCTTCCTCCCATTACCCCTCCCTGAGATGGTAAACAATCTGATATAGGTTATATATGTGCAATCATGTTAAACATATTTCCATATTAGTCATTTTGTGAAAGAAAACTCAAAACAAAAAAAAAAGAAGAAAGAAAGGATGAATGAAAGTGAAAATGGTATGCTTTGGTCCATGTTCAGATGCCATCAGCTCCTTCTCTGGAAGCAGATTGTATTTTTCATCATAAGTCCTTTGGAATTGCCTTGGGTCACTGTATTGCTGAGAATAGCTGTTATTCACAGTTGTTCATCATACAATATTGCCGTTACTATATACAATGTTCTCCTGGTTCTGTCAACTTCACTCTGCATCAGTTCATGTAAGTCTTCCCAGTTTTTCTGAAATCATCCTGCTTGTCATTTCTTATAGCACAACAGTATTCCATCACAATAATATACCAAAACTTGTTTGGCCATTCCCCAATTCATGGGCATCCCCTCAATTTCCAATTCTTTGCCACCACAAAAAGAGCTACTACAAATATTTTTGCACAAATAGTTCCTCCCCCCCCCTTTTTTATGGTGTTGCTGGGTCAAAGTGTATACATAATTTTATAGTTCTTTGGGCATAGTTCCAATTGCTTTCTACAATGGTTGGATCAGTTCAAACTCCACCAACTGTGCATTAGCATCCCAGTTTCCCACATCCCTCCAACATTTATCATTTTCTTTTTTCTGTCATATTAGCCAATCTGATAAGTGTGAGATAGTGTCTCAGAATTGTCTTAACTTGCAATTCTCTAATCAATAGTGATTTCAAATATTTTTTATCTAACTATAAAGAGCTTTGATTTTTTGGTCTGAAAACTGCCTGTTCATATCCTTTGGTCATTAATCAATTGGGGAATGACATATTCTTATACATTTGAATCCATTTTCTATGTTTTTGAGAAATAAGGCCTTTACCAGAGATACTTGCTGTAAATTTTTTTCTCAATTTTTACTTTCCTTCTAATTTTGGTTGCCCTGGTTTTGTTTGTGCAAAATGTAATTTTTAAATTTAATATAATCAAAATGATCCAATTTACATTTCATCATGTCTTTTACCTCTTATTTGATTCTAAATTCTTCCCTTATTGAAATATCCAAACTCATTAAGGAAAATAAGAAATGAGAAAGATAACCAATTTTCTCAGTATTGTAATTCATATTCCAACTGACTGGAACATAGTAGGCCCTTAACAAATTCTTGTTGATTGATTAAACTGGTGCTATCACAGTGTGTTTATGCATCATGAAGAAACTGAACTTGGGTGATACGCTATCAGGGAATTCAATGAAAATAAGAATTACTTTACCAAGCATGGCCTCTTTAATTAAAGGAACAAGGGAATGGAATACTCATGACCAATTCAAATTGTTCTTTTCTCAATGCATTTAAGTAGCACAGAGAATAATCTGCCAGAGATTCTACAAGTCTTGTAGACATTATCTCAAATGAAATCCAAATTGGGCATATATAGGAGTTTTTTTAAAAATTACTGCATTTGGAGCTTGGTCTAGTTCCAAGTATGTGTAAAGAGGGGCATAGGGTTGGATAATAGGCTTGATTGCCTCTGTAATACTACAACGTTGAATACACTGCTGCATACTTCAGGGGAGTTGGGTAGAGCAATCAAATATTCAGAGACTATTTCCTGGTCTTGGGATTATACATAAATCTGAAAAACCCCACTTTGAGAAAGGCTTTGTGGTTCTTGAGAAGGTGGGAGATTAGAAAAGGCACCTATTTTGAATAAAAACCAAATCATACTCTTGGAGCCTACCAGCCCCCTTGAGATCATATCTTTAATCATTTGTGATGTAAGAACAGAAACCACAGCTCATTACTTGGCAGTCCACCAGGTTATTAAAGAAGCTTTTAGTGTTAGGCTGCAAAACCTGATAGGTTCCTGGTTTTAGTCGAAGGGAGGGCCTAGTATTCAGCTTTAGAAGACAACAACCCCTCCCAACACAACAAATAAGAAGTCGAATGAAAACATACAAGGTAACAACCAATTATACCCTTACACTTATCTTCTCCTACCCTTCACTGGACTAGTCATTTCCTCCGGAGATTATCTCCTTCCTGATTTGGCCAGCGAAATCAGATAAGCCAGCCACTGGATTTGGGTGTGTTCATTTAAAATTTTTGTTTGTTTGTTGTTGTTGTTTAAGCTCTTTAACCTGTAAATAAAGGTCATTTGAGGTGAAAACTGTAGGAATTTTGTTTCGGAGTTCGAATACTTTTTTCTTTTTGCTGCAAGTTAAACTATGACGAGCACATACAGATCCGTATTTGCATTTTATTTTGTAAACCAGAAGCTTCAGGTTGGAAGCCTCCCCATCCCTTCTATTACTCACACCTTCAGTCATCACTCCTTGACATCTACTGTAGTAGGTAGGGTCTTGAGGAAACCATGAGTTTGGGTGAGACTTTTTCCCAGCGAGAATCTTTTTTAAACTCGATCTTGGCACACAAAGATATGCTTGCTCTTAGCACTCGAAGAGCTCATTAACATTCACGTTGGGTTATTTCGTCTTGGGGTTTATAAATAAGGTGAGTGGGAATTACCTCAACTCTATCACAGTGCCAGGAAGAGGAAGGAGGGCAAGCAGAGCTAGAGGGCTGTCAGACTGGGCTAGGGTTGGCAGTGCTTTGTCATTCGCGGGTGTTGCCTTCCACCAGCAGGCGAGTGGGAGGCTGCTCGGGACGCCGCCTGTGTTAGCTCTGGCGGAGGGAGCTCCGAGAGCTTCCTGGTTGTTGCCTTCTCAAAGCACTTGGGCTGCCGGGCGCAGCCAGGGCTGGCCCTGTAAGGGGGCTACGCAGGGAGAGGTGACCGATGGCAGACATCGATACCCCAAACGGGCGGGCTCTCACCGAGTTTGTAAGTTTCGAGCTTCGCCCACAACTCCTTGTTCCCATTCTTCCCTCGTCCTTCTCCTTCCCTCTTCTTGGGAATTCAGGTTCCTCGGGATTGAAGACAGCAACGCTGCACTAGCTCCTGAGTAAAGCAAAGGAGTTGTGCAGCCGAGACCTAGGCACTGGCTGTTTGTACATAGTGAAATTATCTGCACTCGACTTTCTCGAAAATCCTACCCAGACGAGCGGGCTAATGCCTGGCTGGGTTTACTGCCTTTCTTTTCTTCGGTTTAAGCCAATACCTATACACATATGCATGCAGTGGGTGATGAGAGCCTGCTTCTTGGAAAATTTTGCCTCTCTCAGCCAGGCATCTGAATCCGCAGAAGGCTTTCCAACGGGGCGAAAGGCATACCTTTTATATTGTCAGAAAAAGTATAACAGCAATATCCCACCTCCCAGTTCAGAAGACTGGAATCTGGAAGCGTGGAGCTAAAGGGTGGGTGAAGGGAGATAGGACCCGAGGCTCTTAATAAAAGGAAAATCATTATCATAGAACTTTTGAGCCCAGAAGAACGAGATGATGTTTGACTGTTATTTACATTTAAGGACTGAATCCCAGAGAACTGACTTTTCCCTCACCCAAAGACGTATCCCTTTAGTTAAAAGCAGAGCTGAGATTAGAAGTTCATTCTTCTGATCCCAAATCAAATGTATACCACGCAATTTTCCACGTTCTAGCCATTACTCCCCCTCCCTGGATTCAGCCCTACCTCATCATTGGCATTTGGGACCTTTTGTTGCCAGCCTCACTTAGCAGCAGGTTGTCAGAGAAAGCTTGGGTAAAGACTGTCTGAAAAGTAGGAAGTCGCATAACTTTCTCTTGAAGTGATTTAATGATCTTACTACTGGGGGAGGAAGGGTGTTAAACATCCCATTCAATTCAATGATTCAGCATTTTCTCCCTAGACTGGCAACCAGATGAAAGGATCTATTATCTGAAGGGCTCTGTGAGATTGTTTCAGACAAGAGATGGACTGGCTTTGCCAACTACACCCTCTCCTCTCTTCCTTAAGTGACAACTAAGATTTAGGTTCTAATTAAATGCAATACTAAATTATGGCAGCAGTTGGACATTGTAACATAGAATTTAAAAGTCTGGATATTTTACCTGCCTTCTAGATGGATTACCTACTGGATCTTTATAGTATATAGGGCAGATTGTATAATTCAACTCCAAAAAATAAGTGAACGTTACTCCCCATTCCCAGAGTGATGTATTATCTGTGGTTTAACTGATTCAAGTCTGAAACACGTTTTATTGTAGAGTTGTTAACTGTGTCCCCCTCGTACATATTATATACCAAATTCTATTTTGTATATAGAGACAAATGCTCTATTATTGACCATTTTCATGAATCTTACAACCTAACAGTAAGGAAAAAAAAGACAAGATGTTAAATAATAATTCACTTTAACAGTTTTACATATAACTTTTAGAGCTACAGATGTTTCTGGTGCTTGGAGAATGAACACTTAGAAACCTATTTGTTAGTAAGTTTAACTTCTAGGCAATATCCATGTTTTGTTTTGAAAAGTAAACATTACTGTCAAAGGAGGTAGCATGATGTACTAGCAAGAACACGGTATTAGCAATAAAAATTGGCCCTAGCTCTGCCACAGATTGTATGACCTCGGCATGTTGTTTGACCTATCTAGGCCTCATTCTCTTCATCTATAAAACTGAGGAGAGGTAGACTATACAAAATTTAAGATACTTTCCATTTTTAACCTTGTATGAATTTTTTCTAGGGCAATTCTTTTTAGCCTTCAAACAGGAATAATTGGCTCCCTGGTCAGATCATTATTGTGGTCCTAAGAAATACAGAAAGCATAAATAATCACAAGTCTATATAAACAAATCTTAAAACACAGTTGGTAATTCCAAGAATAGTATCAACAAATGAGAGAACAGTATGATATGCACTTGCCGCCATAATCACATGTATATTTCTAGCTGGCAAATTCTGCATCTACAACTCTTAACATTACATTATGTCTAATGTCTTTATGAATATTTAGGACAAAGGACTGCAGCACAAATATTACATGTTACCTGTTCGCAGAAGTTAACAAGCTTCTTAAGACTTGGCTTTTATCTTTGAAACAAGATAGCAGGCACTATAAATTTTAATGTTATAAGCACTTTAAGCTGTAGTGACTAGGTGTAGGTAGTGTGGTCTAAGAGGTATAATTGCATTTGGGAATCAGGGACAAGATGTTCTCCATGAGCTACTGAAAAACCTCACCAACTACTCTAACAACTGTTATTGTCCCACTGTCATAAAATAGGCGACATGCAGCTTAAAAGAGCAAATATTTTTTAAAGTCTTTTAAAACATTTAAATGGATCTCACCAACATGGTCATTCCTTCTAAGGAAAGAGATCATGACCCATCTAAGCTTACCCATCCTATGTAAGTCTTGTCCATGTCCTCCCAGTTTGCCAGAGGACCCATCAAAAATGCTTGGGGGGTACTTCTTGGATTTCTCCCGACATCACAAAGGATATCACTGGAACGCCAGTTCTCTCTCCTCCGTCTTGCCATGTGATTAGCTTTTTTTTTTCAAGAATACACTTCTTTGAAAGCATTATTTACTGTTAATTCTTTTTAGTTCTTTGTAACATATTGCAGCCTGCTCATAGGCACTTTGGGCCTCTCCACTGCTGGGAAATTTTTACTCTTTATTTGCCACACTATTCTGTTACTAAGTTATACAACAATATGGGTAGACTATTTATATAAAAAAGAAGGGGTTTTATTTCTGGAATTAGAGTCATTAAAAAAGTTTTACAATTTCCCAAGGGCAATCTCACCCCAAAATTTAGAAATGTATATTAAACATTATATTCAATGATCTATTTTTGTTCCAGGCAGAAGATTTATTACAGGAACTTCAGGTACACTTTCAAGCTCTGACTGAGACAATAACTCTCAAAAATATCCTTTTGTATTTTAAAAGAATGTACAGTGTTGCTCTGAAATTGCATAGTGAATAAGAAATGTTTTCATGATCAACATTCCTGGCCATTTTTTTCTTTTCATATAATTTTTCTAGTATGTATATTTTTTAATGTAAAATGCATATTTCCATTTTGGTGGCATACTTGGAGATGTATTAATATTCACCCGTAGGATGGAAGATTATTTCATATTTTATCAAGAGGTGGAAAGAGAACTGGTATGTATTTTTCAAGGATAAAATAAAAATTCATATTTATAGTCCTCAGTATGTCAAAGATATGTAATTCTGTCATTGTGGAAACTCCTTCTACCAGCTGCCTGAGACTTAGAGATGTTAAATGATTTGCCCATATTTACAGAGCTAGCAAGGGTCAGGGGAGGGATTTGATTTCAGAACTTCCTAGCTCTAGCCTCTACTCTATACACTATGCTAAGTTAACTCTGAGTAGCCATTGTGGTGCATTGTAAAGAATGCTGGATTTGGAGTCAGAGGCCCTGAGATGAAATCTGGCAAGGCCTTGAAGGGGCTGGTCTATAAAGACTTTTAAGGTCTCTTTGCTGTATAAGCCTTATCTTATCTTATATTTATAAAGTATTATAGGAAGAAATCACTAGTTCTATATCATCTGAATCCCACTATTCACACCAACAAGCATCAAACATTTTCAGCAATGCAATTTTTCTTTTTACTTCCAACTCTTTCGACTTGTGGCTTTGACTTAGCAATAGTCAAGTATGACAGGCTGTTTCCAGTTTGTATAAAACCAGAAGAAAAACTATCAATTTGCTGAAAATAAATTTTACCTTACTTCAAAAACCAAATTCCTGAATATCTGTGTGCAAAACATATATGTACAATAATTTCTCACTAACTTATACTCCAAATTTGGGAATTAGTTTCCTTAGGGGGGAAAAACACTGATCCTAAGGCATAATGAAATTAATACTTAAATACCTTAAAATGTGCAAGTGTAAAAAAGAGAGTTTGTCTAACACAATAGGGCAAGACAATTTAGTTAAAAAGACTAAGTCCTCAAAATGTTTAAATGTTTAGTCACATATTAAAATACACCATAGTTAATTCCTATTTCCTTGGATTTTATTCCAGACTCTATTCAATTAAATTAAATCCACTGGATTTCGGCTTTTTAATAATTTTTAATATATCAATGACTATGCTTATGCTCCAGTTATTTGGCAATATATCAGGTCAGAGAAAAATTATATGAAGGGATTTTTTTCCTTTCACAGATTAGACAGTGGAAGTAAATTAATTTGCTATGATTTCTTTGTCCTCTTAATTTGCTTTAAATCTTCATAATTTAATCAAATTATCAGGATTTGTTGCAAGTGCTAATAAAAAAGGGTCTTTGAAGAGGGATTTTTGGCCAACAGTTCGAAAGTGACATTAAATATGCAAACTGAAGGACTACTATAAAGTATGTAATGGAGAAGTTATTACACTAATGAAATCAATCTGCACTATTCAGTTCTCTTTAACTTTATACTGGAAGAAATGGGGAATCGAATTGATGACTTACAGAACAATGTAACTGATCTCATGATAGAAGCAGGGATCCAAAATACAGACAAAGAGCAAATGGTAAGGACCATTAATTTTTTTTGTTTGATGTTTTTAAAGGCTATTATTTGTTTTCTTCTTTAAAAACTGACAACACACTTGTTTTTACAGCCTGAGATACTATACAACCTGTATACTAAAATAAAAATCTTGAAATCTACAATTTTTTCAAGTTATAAAGCCACAGGCAAATTTCCTGTGCTTTTTATCTTTATAGATATCAATTGTAAGAACTTGAATGCATATTTTTTTCTCCTTAAATAGGCATAAGTTAATGTTTTCATACTTAACCCTCAGAGAAATCACTTTGGAAAATGTATTTAGGAAAATAGCTAGTTTTTAAGAGAATATATTCATGTAGCCTTCAAGAAAAGCTTTATAAATTATTAGGTTCATAATATAGTCTCTGATACATCTTAAAAGAGTTTCTGTTGTATGTGAATGCACCAGAAAGTTTAGTTTTTTATGCTACAGATTTAAAAACCACCCTATTAGTCAAAATTGGCATTTTTAGTCTGAAGAATTTAGTATTTTCAGCTTATGGCATTATATTAACATGCTTTGAAAATAAAATATATAGGGGCAGCTAGGTGGCACAGTGGAAAGAGCATTGGCCCTGAAGTCAGTAGGACCTGAGTTCAAATCCAGCCTCAGACCAAATACTTGACACTTATTAGCTGTATGACCCTGGGCAAGTCACTTAACCCCAACTGCCTAAAAATACATACATATATGTATATGTATATGTATGTATATATATACTTGGAAATAGGCATGTTTCATTTAAAATAATTATGCATATTTGCTGACTTAGCTTGTGATATTTGGTGGCAGCTGTCCTAATTCAGCTAACAAAAATTTTCATACCGAATAATAACACCGAATTCAAGAGGGTTCACTTTTCAATGCCTGATTGAGTTAGCTTTTCTATGAATAACTATATTATAATCATATACTAGTAATTCAAAATCAGGCATCATGATTAGCCCTAGTAAGGGAAAGAGTTTCAGAGGGAAAAAGATGCTGAAAAGTTTTGAAGGAATTGAGAGCTTCAAACTTGTCAGTTAAGTGGGAAGTCATTTGCTCCAAGAGTTTAGAGTTTTAGTTTGGGTTTGAGACACAAGGAAGAAGCCTGAAACAAGTGCTTTTGAAAATTAGATGGGCAGCAAGAGTAGGATCAAGAGGCAGAAAAAAGTGAGGGCCCAGTTGTAGTTAGGCACCATAAATCTATAATGGGTTAAAATCAGTGTTTCTGTCAATGGCAGCTGGGAGCAAAGGGGGCCCAAAGTGGCAAAACTGGACAGCAGGGCTGAACCACAAAGCAGAAGGAGTAAGCTATTTAGGAATGCTAGGTCAGTGAGAAAAGGCATTCTAAAGTAGTGGCTAGTAAAGCATTAAAGTGGCAGACCATGGGCTCAAGGCTGGATAGGATGGTAAGAGTGTGGAAGAATAAGCATAGGTCAAAAGACTAGAGATAACAATAAAGGAAAAATATGGAGTTAGTGTGAATCAGAGTGGGTAAGGTAGGTAATTGAGAAGTGTTGCTCAGAGACTAGACATTTTCAAACTTCTGGTTCTTGGAGGTGGTGTAATTCCAAGAGATATTAAGTCTAAGATGTGACTGAAGTGCAATGCAAGAGGTTGTTGCAAATGAAGAAACTGAGGAATTGTGTTCAGGTTATTCACTAGGTCATTAACATGAACACTGAAGTCTCAAAGGATCACACTAAGGAAAAAGGACAGAAAAGATAACCATGAGCTAGATGCTAAAGTCATTCAAAAGAGTTGGGAGAGTTATCAGGTCAATAAATAACAGCAACAAAGATGGGGCAAGAATGGTATAAACTGATTTCACATAGCACTTCTTCATTCTCATTACTCCAAAGCCATTGTATATGAAACGAGCTGGTCTCTGAACTAGATAGACTTGGGTTGGAATTCCAATTCTGATCCATACTGGCTGTGTGATCCTTGACAAGTTACCCAGCCTCTTTTAGGGCTCTGGGCTCCTAAGACTGTAAGGGGCAGATAAGGTGCAGACCTATATTGGCAAAAGGGAGTTTTCTCATTAGGGAATTTACTACATCATAGATATATAGGTTCCATCCTTATCCCTATTACAGTTATCTATGTATATGTATATGACTTATTCCCCATGATACTGTAAGCTCTATAAAAAGGAGTTTTAACTAAACTGTGTACTTCCCCCAGCATCCAGCACAGTAGCTTAATATTTGTTGCAGTGAATTGAACTTAATTATATAGTTACCTGGAAATTGAATTTTAAGATGTTTAGTTTTAACTGTGCATGAAGAGATGTAAATAACATCTATTTCAACTTTTCCCAAACAGACTTGAATTACTGTAATGTTAAAAGATGCAAAGTGCATTCTTTATGGATAAAGATTCTGCTGCACAGAAGCTGTTCCTACAAGAGAAATCTTGTCAAAACAGTTTGAAAATTTAAGCATATGATATGATAGACAATATTACTGTTTCAAATGTATGTTTGTTTTAGTAACTAATTAGATTTGTTTGTAGAAATTCAGTTCTTAAATTACTTTTAAGATTGATAAGGATGTTTATAAAAATGTCTTTCAGGGAGCACATATCAATACATAAATATTTTCATCAAAGATGATAATAGCTGAAATTCACATAATGCTTAAAAATGTGCAAGTGCTTTTGATATGTATGATCACATTTGTTCCTCATCATGATCCTGTGAAGGAGGTACTGCAGGTATAATTATACCTATTTTACAAATGAGGAAACTGAAGGAAAACTCTAAGCCATTATTACAAATGGACCTTTGGCCTCCAGAAGTCATTATCCTTAAATGAGATACCCAGTCAGTCTCTTAAAAATGGATGTTCATTTTCTATTGTATGGTATAACATCCTTACCTTTGGTTTAATACTCATGATAGTTCACTGCTAATCTTCGGGGGGGAAGAAATCTTGAAGAATCTTAGTTATAATTTACAAATTTACCATGGCTAAAATGCCCAAAAAAGCTTCAAGAAATCAATTGAACAAGTGAAATAGCACTTATGGTCTATCTAGTGATTTTGAAACATACTAATATATTGTTCATCTTGGACTATCAAAAATACAATGGAGTCTTTTAAAAAAAACAACTGCCGAATCAAGCCAATCTCCTATTATAGGCTGACATTCTACATCTTTTCATTCATTCACCTAAACTCAACACACCCATTTTTATGGGGAATCCAGTAGGGTAATCATCTGAAACAATTATACAATGGTACCTCCTTTTACTAATTCTGTCTGACTTTTCTATAGTAACTGTTTTCCCTAGTACCCTGTTATAACAAAGATTAGAATATCCTCTTATAAGCATGATAACATATATAATGCATAAGGTTTAAAAGTTATTTAAGCACCCTAGAAATTCTTATCACCTTTATTTAAGTAGTAAACTGCTATAGCTGAACACAAGTTTTAAGTATGAGATAGTTTATAGTATACCCAAATAGAACATATACATTTCCACAACTAATAATATTCATACGTTTAAATAAAAGTATCTTAATTTTTCCAAATGTGTTCAAACACTGTCTTAAATTTCAAATCACAAATAATAGTTTTTTTCTGAACACAATTTTTATATTCAGAAGAAAGAATCTGGAAGTAAAAAATTCTGGTACTATTACAGAAATACGTGGGGAAATTGTTGGAAACATCTGGAAACAAACATCTTCAAAGTCAGTTTCTGAAATTATAAAATAACTTCAGTTAAATGTGAAAATGCCACACATAAATGTCAAAGATCAGATGATTATTATTTTTTAAAATGTTAACAGTGCAGGGAAAATATTATAAATTGTACTGAGTACTACATTGTTGTTTCTCAGTACTTAGTGCTGCTTTATAGCTTTTTAATGTTTATAAAATGCATATTTTCTTTGTATCTACTTTATAAGAAATAAAATTAAGTCTTCTTAAACATATGTTAGCAGTCATTATTATCAAAGTATAAGGACTAGCCTTTAAAGACTTTACCTCAAAGCTACTTTAAGAAATATGAAGAAGGAATTCAGGGGATTTTGCTATCTAGACAACCAAAGGTTTTGTTTTCCTATGTTTCTCCAATAGCTAATTTCAACAAAGTCAATATACACAAACTAAAATGCCAAACTATTATTATGAATCAATTATACTCTGATAGTACTTTGTCACACAATCCAATTTTGTTTAAAAACCTCAATGATCTATAAATCAGTTTGGTCACTGTTTAAATAAGCAAGAATCTTTACCAAGAAACTATAATGAAAAGCAATGGTAAATATAAAACAAATGACATCTGTATTTGATTTTTATTGTGCCTAGTATCCATAAGCCTCATTTGGCACTAATTGCTTGATATTGTTAGCTAACTTTTTATAAGTTAATTCTGTTTCCCTAACTAGATTGTAAGCCCTTTGAAAACTGTCAATCACACATACATAAAGAAGGGGCTCAACAAATACCTGCTAAATAAATTAATAGCACCAGGTAATGAAAGGTTAACATCAATTAAAGTATAAAACATGATACAATTTTCCTTTATTCTACTAAAATAAACATCAGAAATAATTAAGTTACACAAACCTATTCCATTTCCCAGTGATATAAGTGAAAATGTCATTGCTGTGAATGTATGGCATCACAACTATAATACATGCTAATCAAATCAATTGGTACAGTGCTTCATTTTGCACAATGGAGCAGAACAACAAACAATAAAACCTTTCTGTTATTAGACCCCAATTTCTACTAAAAGCAAAGGCATATCTTAATGTAGACTAAGGAATATCACTTATAGTGACACTATTCAAAGCTGGCTTTAAAATGTGCTAGTTGAAAAGTTTTAGCTAATAATCTAAGGAAAAATGTTTTATTGCTGCACACTTACCAACTGGAAAGGAAAATTGGGGATTTCTGATTTAGATTTGATACTTTTTTTTTCTTCTCTTTTTCAGAGATTACTAAATCATGACAATAGTTTCTCTATTTGATCATCAAAAAAGTGCTATAAAGATATAATTTACTTATAACTGCCATAAATTTATTCCCAGCAGGAAACTTTTCCAAGTTTTTTTTACATTTTTTTGATTTAGATTTTATTTTTAGTTTTCAACATTCACTTCCACAAGATTTTGAGTTCCAAATTTTCACCCTATCTTGCCCCTCCCTCCTCAAGTATTATTTCTAATCAAAATAATATGATTCACTTAGGGTTGTTTATAATTAATAGAGACCACATAGAGATTCTTGGAAATGTTTAATTCTTACTGATGATTGGAGACATAAAAGCAGGAAATGTTATGAATGGGTCAATATTTAGAAATAAGATATTATTTATGATTGGATTACACTGATGAAAGCTTGTGGATTGGTGACAATGAAAATGATCATTGCTTTGAAATGCCCAGTAGCAAATGTTGGTGATTTGTTTTCTTTTCATTAAAGATACTGTCTTTGCAAAAAAAAAAGTGCTATTTCCATAAACTTAACTAAGTAAAGCATTTTATTTTCCCAAAATGATGTGAGGTGGTTTACAAAGCTGGCATACATAAGACAATAAAAATTAAAATAGAACAGAATTAAAACTCAAAAACTGATTATGAAGAGAGCATCAAAACCCCCATACTAGGCACGGTAAATGTTTGTTAGTTACTGCAGGTGAACAATAAATCAGTGTGGAGCTTCTAGACAGCTAAGGCCAAAGGGGAAATATGTAGGGTTCTCATTATCAACAATTCAAGACATTTGTAATACCTACTAGGTGGCAAAGCAAAGTATGCCTTGTGTTCAAAACACAAAGACACAAATGAAGTAGTACTTGCCTTTAAGGAACTTACATTTTACTATTTGTGTACATCATGTACATAAATAAGTAAATGCAAAGTACATAAAGTAACACTAACAACTGTGGAATAGGAGCAGGAAAGGCCTCATTTAAGAGATGTCACCTGAGCTAAAACTCAAAGGAAGTTGGGGATTAAAAATCTACAGATAAATAAATATAGTTTAGTAAAGGAGAGAGCACTAACAATGTGGGGAGGGGAGCGCAGGTGGGAAGAGGTGGCTTTGTAAAGATTTTTCATGGAAGTGGAAACTTAGATGAATGTTAAAGGAAGCTTGAGATTTTAAGAATCTGAAGTAAGGAGGGAGCACACTTTAGACACAGGAGAACAGATTGTGCAAAGGTATGGATGGAGGTGGAAGATGGCATGTCAAGTTCTGAGAAATAATGACCAATTTGACTGGAACATAGATTAAATGAAGAGGAGAAATAATAGAAGATATGAAGGAACCAGATTGTAAAGATCTTCAGTATGTAGGGATTGTTTCATTATTTACACCTATGACTCCAGTGCCTCATACAGTGCTTGGAACATTGTACACACTTAATTAAATGATCAGCTGAGAAGTCTAAATTGTATCTAGAAGCAATAGAGAACTACTAAAGATTTTTGTGTAAGAGAGACATGATCAGACCTTTGTTTCAGAAATATTAATTTGGTAGCTGTATGGAAAATGGATTAGAAAAGAGGAGAAACTTGGAGCAGAAGAACCAAAGGAATCTTACAAGTTTAATGGGGAGAAAAAAGTTTTCTTGGTAATACAGTTCAAGAGGAATTCACCTCTAGGATCCTTTCATAATAGGTATTACCAATTACAGTTTTGCAAGAGATACAGTAATACCCCTCATATAGACTTTTTGTATTAGTCCTCTACCCTCTATGATAGCTGAGGGTCATGTTAACTTCTAGCAAGGGGAAAATGTTTCTCCAGGGAGCTATGGTAATATGGTCTCTGCACACAGCTTCATAATGATCTAATTGATATAGGGATAAATCTTTTAAAACCCCAGAGGAATCAATAATGAACACATTAGACCCTTTTTCTCTAAAATATCAAATGTCTCAAATAAAATGCTCGCAACTGACAGACATCAGATTGTTCATGGTTAAATTACATGACAATTCCCTGATATAACAATCATAAATGTTAAAGGATAAAAGGATTGATGTTTTACACATCTGTCAAAGGAAAATAGCATTAATGCTGCTATGAAAATGCATGACCATAATCTGAATTCTTACACAGACAGAAGGCTATCCCATTTTTGTAGAGAGGTGGCCAAAACTGCTGATTTAGCCTCCACCCTTAAGCTAATGCAAATGTTATTACAGATGAGAAACAATTAAAATGGTAGGTCAAATATTTGACAACCAGAAAAAACTGCATTCTCTGTAATAATTTCAATATACAAAGGTGTTAAAGGTCTAAAGATAAAATAGAAAATAATTTCCATTTGTGTTGATCATGCTTAAATAACCTTTTAGCTATTATGAAAAAATATAGAACATGAATGTCACATTTAGTTTTACTTAACTACCAGTCAGCTAGTTATTTTCCAGATTGGAATTAGCCAGCTATCATATATGCAAGGTGATAATGAAGTAACAGGACTTTGACTGCCTTGTTCTAAACAAACAGAAGTACTTACATATTCAAATGACTACTGATCCAATCACTTAAATTCAATAAGTAGCTTTATTACATGCCAAACAATATTGTAGGTCAAGGGTGGGGAACCTGTGGCCTCGAGGCCACATGTGGCTCTCTAGGTCCTCAAGTGCGGCCTTTTAACTGAAACTAAACTTCACAGAATATAGAATCCCCTTAATAAAAGGATTTGTTCTGTAAAACTTGGACTCAGTCAAAAGGCTGCAACCAAGGACTAGAAGGTCACATGTGGCCTCGAGGCTGCAGGTTCCCCACTCCTGTTCCAGGTCAAGGACAGGTCCAAGAGCCAAGAATAGTTTTCACATTTTAAAAGTTTTGTTATATTTAAAAATGTAAAAACCATTTTTAGCTTGGGGCAGTAAGCAGTAGGCATCAGGGAAAATATACCCCCGGACAGTAGTTTGCCACTTCTTTTTTAGGTTCTACAAAAACAAGAACAGTCCCTTTTCCTCAGGAAGTTTACATTCTACTAGAGGGATATTAAGAGGTACAAAAATAAATATAAAGTACATACACAGTAATGAACAATCCCTTAGGATAAGGGTGAGCATTCTTAATAATGGGGCTGGGGATCAGAAAATACCTCATGTTGGAGGCAGAACAAGATCTGAGTTGAAGGGAACGAGGTATTCAAAGAACCAGAGATGAGGAAGTGGGTGAGTATTCTAGACATGGGGGAGGGGGGGAAACAAAATTTCAAATAACATTCCTTTGAAAGAAGTCACCACAGCAGGCTACATACCTATCCCAGTGATGCTGCCATTGCTCAAAAAGAGGAGTCCCTTGAAAGCCTGACAATGCATTCTTTTGAATATCCTCTATCAAATCTTATTATTCATTCTTTAAGGATATAAATTTTGGAAAGTAGCCAAAAATATTCAAGGTCAAACCTGATGACCATAGTAAGTGGTCATGCAAGACACCGTCTTTTTTGTACCCTCCTCCAACCTCCAAGGGTAGACACTAAAGAAAGCGGTTTTAAAAGAACATTTTGCGTAATGGAAACAGAGGAGTAAGTACCTCAAGGAAAAGTTTTTCGGACATTAATTTAGATGTTCAGATTCTGATATATCTGCTAAAAAAAGAAGTTAAGGACTTGTTTTGCAATTTTATTCAAATGACTGGCAAAATTGCCCCCCTCCCTATATAATGGAGATACGATAAACATAAGCTATTCTATAAGACTACCTAATATAGCAGAAAGAGTACTTGATTTGGAATTAGAGAAGTTAGATTCAAATTTGGCTCTGCTATGTACTACAAGATATGACCTTGGTACAAATGAAATGACTTGACTTCTCTGGGCCTTCGTTTTTTATCTAGTTCTAAATCTACATCCTATAATAACCACCTAGGCTAGAATAAGAAAAGTGTGATTAATTTGCCACAAGGAAGGTTAATATTGAAGATTTTTTACCTTTTAGCATTATAGAGTGAACTTCCCCAGAGATTTTTAATAGAGAAAACAAATAAATAATGATAATGAATAAGAAGGCTAAATATGTTAGACACAGACCTAGCTGAACAATCAGCCCTTTAATTCTAAGTGAACTTAAAAAAAAATTTATATTGTAGGGTTCTGTTTATAACCTGATGATAGGATGAACACTTCTTGTTCACATTTGGGGCGGGCACTTTAGGAGCTTTGGACAGTTATTAAATAATGAGAACAGAACAATGACAGATTATAAAATATAAAGGATGAACCCTTTAATCTTCTGAGGCAACTTTAGTGAAACTTTTAACTAAATGCAAAGAATCCTCAATCACAAAGTTGTTTCAAAACAAAAAAAAATCACATTAACAAATAGCGATCACATTTTCATATATTTTAATTTTTTCAGCTATGAATTGTTTATAGTTATTTAATCATATAAAAATACACTGAAAACACAAGGCTATATAGCCCTTATTCCAAAAAGATGTTAGAGCTCCTTATTTCATGTAACTTCCAAGCATTTTCCCCAAAGGACTTAAATATCTAAAAACAAAAAACTCCACATACAAAAAACCCCAAAGAGCCTTTATATACTCTTAAAGAATTAGAGCACCAGATGTCCAAAACAACATCAGTATCTGTATTTGGTGGAATAGTCCTTTGGAGAAACCACAAGACCTCTACCTTTACGAGCGCCTCTATATACTGTTTCTATTATGTCAATCATCTCTTGCTTGTCTTCCATTGCCCAGTTAATCTTGTTGTTGTTACCTGTACCCAAATCGATCATGATGTGCTTGTTCCTTCAAAGAGAAACAAAAAGAAGTCAACTCACATGTGACTTTAAAGGAAAAAGAACATTAAGTACTCCACACATACCCCATCCAAAGCCATATGTTAGTATTATTTTTTCAAGTCTTGTTACAAGCTGCAGCATCAACATCACCTTAAATATACAGCAATCTCTGTATTTCTGGTTTTGTGTATGTAAAATAAAAACTTACTCTAAAAATGCATTGCTGCTTTTACTCCACTAAAGAGACATCTAAATAGACATTAGACATGTGGCATTTATTAAATACCCACTATATATGTCAAACAATGAACTAGGTCTTGTAGATAAAAAGGAAAAAATGAAAACAGTCCTTGTTCTTAAGAAGCCTTCATTCTACTGGGTTGTGAATTGTTTATAGAAATGGAGCAGTCCTCAACTAACAAACTGTTTTTCAAAAGTTCATTTTACATCAATTAAACAACTATTCATTTAAGCACCTACTATATGCTATTTATTGGGAACATAAATGATTTTTGAAAGATCAAAGAGAATACAACTGACAAGTACAAATGTCCTACTTTCAAAAGGAGAGTGAGAATGGAGTCTGAAAATTATAAATCAGTGACACTAACTTCATTTCCTGGTAAAGTTCTAGAATTATTAAAGATATGTTTAGTAAACATCTCATGATGAAGCATAACTTCACCAAGAACAGGTCACACCCAAGTAATCTCACTTCCTTGACTGACAGGGCTGATAGATAAATACATAAATTTTAACTAAGTTATTTGACACTGACAATCTCATGCTTTTTTTGCGTGTGAAAAGATTAAGGCACGTGGGGTAGGCAATAGTACAATTAGGTGGATTTGGAACTAGTTGAATGGCTGGACCAAAGACTGGTCATGACGGATTAATGTTAACTTAGAAAGACATCTCTCCTGGAATGACTCAGGGTGCTACATTTGCCTCTATACTGTTTATGACTTTCATTAGTGACTTAGATGAAGGTAAACAGATGGAATGTTTATCAGATTCACTGAGGATACAAAGCTGGGAGGAATAGATAAGACAGTAGATGACAGTCAAGATCCCAAAAGAATTTGATGAGCTATATGTAATAAGGTAAAAATGTATTAGAATATAGAATACAAATGAAGCCTTATAAATTAATTTCATAGGGACAAGTTAGGGGAAGCATGGGTTAAATGGCAGTTCACTTAAAAAAGATCTGGAAAAGACTCAGAAGAGACAAGATAGTTTTATTAAAGTATTTGAAGATCTGTTAAGTAGGAAAGGGATCAGATATTACCTGTTTGGCCTGAGAGGGCCGAACTGGGAACTGAAGGTAAAATTACAAAAAGGCAAATTTAGACTAGTTGCAAAATACTGTGAATTCTACATCCACAACATCTCTTGCATCTGTTCCTTTCTCTACTCAAATAAGTCACCACCAAATTTAGGCCTTCATCACTTTTAACCTGGTTATTTGCAGGTCTTGCTTCATAGTTTCTCCCTTCTCCAATGAATATTCCACACAGCTGCTAAAATGATTTTCCTGAAGTGGAAGTCTGACTATGTTATCCTTTCCCCCATACTCAACAAACTCCAAAGGCTCCCTAGGGCACTAGGGTCAATTACAAACTCTTCTGTTTCGCTTTTATAACCTTTCACAATCTGATTACAAACTCTTTTCAATCTTATTATATAATATTCCCTTCCTTATAGTTTAGCCAAATTGGTGTTCTTATTGTTCTTCACACATGGCACTTCACCACTAGTTTCTTTGCCAAACAAAGTACAGGCTTTCCTCATGTCTGGAATTCACTTCCTTCTCATCTCCACATCTTAGAATTCCTAGTTTCTTTTAAAACTCATCTCAAGAGCCACTGTCTACATAAAATCTCTCCTCATATTATTTCCCCACTCCTCAAAATATTACCTCGAATTTATTTTGTGTGTGTGTGTGTGTGTGTTTGCATCAAACACATACATATAACATAAACACATACACACACATTATCTTTCATTCCAGAATGTAACCTCCTTCAGGGGAATGGATGTTTTATTTTGTCTCTGTATCACAGGGTAGATACTTGAACATAGCAGAAACTTAAAACTCATCAATTGCCTAAAGTAACAAGGTAGTGAGTGGCAGAGATCTGAACACTTTGACTTGAAATAGTGTTCTTCCTACTAAAGCAGAATGTCCAGAACCATCAGTGTTGTCACTGAATCCTACCTCTCCCTCAAATCCAATCAGTAGTTAACTCTTTCCAGTAGTATCCTTCTCATCGGTCTCATCTGTCCCATCCCTTCTCTATTCCCATTACTATCATGCAACTTCTGTTTTCTTACCGGACAGTTCCGATAATCACCTGTGAGATTTTCTGCCTCATCTTCACCTCCTTACAAATGAGCTGTCACTGCAAGTCAATACTGCTCTCATACAGATCTAGTTACATCATTCCCCTGCTCAAAAGTTTTCAATGTCTCCCCATTTATTAGATAAAATACTAGATACTTATACTAGATGCTTATCTTGACATTCAAGAGCCTCCAAAAGTTTCTAACCTGCCTTTCCAATTTTACTTCAACCTATTCCCCCCTTCATATACTTTACACTTCTACCAAACCAGTTTATGTGATATTTACTAACACACTATATCTTCTCATACCACTGGTTCTTACAAGGTGTGCTACAGCACTAGTGCAACACAAGTCTTATTAGGTACACTATACTTATTAGGTAGACTCCTCACACCCTGAGACCCTGACATTCCCCCCTTCTCCCAGCTGCAGTTTGTTGCCTGGTCTTCCTAGGCTGGCTTTGGAAAGGTCACAGTATCAGCTCTCTCCATGGAGGAACACAGTCACCTTCTCCATGGTGAGTCCTGGAGAACTAACGAAGAGAACAAGGGGGTGCAGGATGGAAAAGAGAGGTAGAATATCCCACCAGTCCTACAGGCAAAGAACACTGTGATATGAACACAAAGAACTCATCCTTTATTGACCCTCTCAATGCCATCTTTTCCATAGTCTTCTGTGATTATCCCTTCTATATTGGGCAGGCAGTATAAATTTTCTTTTCTGAATTAGTCATAAGAATTTGGGGAGAACAGAAGCAAATGACAGATTAATATTACATATAAATTATTAAATGTTATGTCTGTTAGGGTACTAAATAATTTTAAAGCCTCCGTACATGAGAAAATCTCAGCATAGCTCCAAAAAATATAAACACAAAATGGAAAAACTCTCTTGAATACATTAAATACACTTAACCGGGTTTTCTTAGCAGTCACATTTTATAAAAAGATTACTGGAAGACATTAAATTGGCATAACTTCATTTCACTATTAACATAATGAGATTCATTTTGTATTCTAAGTTAATTCCACTTGGTGTGTAAATCAACTGTTCCAAAATAGGAAGTATCATACCTAAAGGTGTTCTGAATACGTTAAATAAACATCACAAGTTTTCTAGAATAAACTGAGTAATAATTTTTTTAAAATAACATACCTGAAGAAAAACATGACAGTACAGGGATCATACAATTCATACATCTTATTGAAGTCTGGTACTTCTGTAATATCCACAAGATATATAACTGCAAAATTTTTTACCTAAAAGGAAAATGAAAAAAGAGGAATCAATCTAGGATATTCTCTTTTATTTTCATCTCAGAAAGGCAAATTTTTAAAGAATTTGGTTACAATATATTTAAAAGGCATTTATTCATATCTCTGCCAGAACCATTTTCCCCATGATAGCTTTTACAGAACAAAAAATACCAAAAACATCCAATTTTGACACCTAAATGTTAACATATGCTTCATACTTCCATCTTCTAAGATACCTCAGAATATCCTGGTAAGTTTCAAACAACAATCTAAATCTGTTATGAAGGTAATAAAGAAAATTGCAAAAGGTTTTATAAACAGAGGCATTTTAATAAATGATTCTGACGTAAATAAATAACTGTGCACTAAGCCGTTCTAAAGAAAAGACTCCTAAACATAATCAGCTAGTTATCTTGCCAGACACCTCTGTCCTCACCCCCAATCTTGGCAGGATACAGTCCTGGAGGGTTCCAGTTTGGCATTGACCTTGAACTTGATCCTTTGGCTTCCACTTTTCCAATTATTCTGGTTGAACACTTGCAACCAACGCTGATGTTAAGCAGCACCCAAATACAAAATTACTATGTGAAAGATACTTTGCAGGGAAAAGCTGATTTTCAAAATTATACTCTTTTATCACGTTTTTAAAAGATTAATAAGAAATAGGAGTATAAACTTCTAGACCAAGGTAACTATACATAATTATATATGTGTAAACTATATACAACTATACTTTTTTCCTTCCCCACTCTGCTCAATGGTTAGCACAGTGTTATACACTGAGTAGGCACACAAGTGTGTAATCAGTATGCCAAGAAGATAAGACACTACTCCTATCAAGGATACAGTGTCACCCCAAAATGTAAAAGCAGTATGGTACAGCATAAAGTTAGGATTTGGAGTCAGAGAATATAAGTTTGCATCATGGCTCTGTTACTTGATTTTTAGTGTCACCTTAGGCAAGTCATTAAAACTCTAAGGGCCTAAGTCCCTCATCTGTAACATGACAGGTTTGGGCTACAGGGCCCCTGGGATGCTTTCTAGATCTAAATCTATAATCTTATAATCTTTATCCTTTGAGTTTTCTTTAAATGAAGTTTTATTCAAATTTCTGCATCACCAAAATTTCTCCCAGTTATTGATCCCACTTCCCTCTCCCAGAGAGCCATTCCATATAATATCTATTTGCTTGTACACAATAGACCACTCTATTTTCTTATACGCAAATTAGGTCTAAAGAAGATAAGTGTTTGAAAAATAAACATATGAACTTGTGTGCCAAGATATACGAAGACAGATGAACTGACTTCATCTTAAATGAAATTATGGCCAACAAAAAATAGAAAACATTAAGACAAGCCATAAAAAATTTTAAAACACTCCAAGTAATAAAACTCTTAGTTACACACACACACACACACACCCCTCCTAAATATCACACATTTAGAACCAGAGGAAATGACATATTATTTATTTTATAGAAAATTTGACATGAATTAACAGATATTCCATAATATTATTCATTCTTGAAGATGATATTCATATAGACATACAATTACCAATATTTCTAACTGTAGCTTCATCATTATTAAGTTCAGCAGTAAGTTTCATTGTAACTTTTTTGTTGTTCTTCACATGTCCGACTCTTCACGATCCCATTTGGGACTTTCTTGGGAAAGATACTGGAGTGGTCTGCCATTTCCTTCTCCAGCTCATTTTACAGATGAGGAAACTGAGGCAAACAGGGTTAAGTGACTTGCCCAGGGTCACAGCTAAGTATCTGAGGCCAGATGTGAATTCAGGAAGATGAGTTTTCCTGGTTCAGGCCCTGTACTCTATCCACTGTGCCATCTAGCTGCCACTCATTACATCGACTATCCTTCAAAACTTTAACTGGGTTCAAGGTATTGTACCATGAATTTCACTTCTTTCAATAACCTCTTTTCTTTATCTTCCATGTAACCCTACATAGTACTCTCACTGAAAACCAGAGTGAATTTTGCATACTGCACTTACACTTTTGACCATGCCTGAAGATCAATATACGCACAGATATTCTCTTCCACTACTTCAATCATAAAAGAAACAGTAAATAAATGTCAAAATCTTAATAAACATGATAAAAGATTTGATAATATATATACAGTGACAACAATATATTACCAGGCACTTCAATTTCTGGCCTCTAAAGCAAAGAACAAAATACAGGGAAAGGCAAAACATGGGGATATGAGAAAGATCAATGAGTGAATAAACTACATACCTAAAGGCCTAGAATTCTCTGATATAAAAGCAAAGGTTATTAGCAATATTTTCTTAATAAAAGTAAAGAAATACAAATAATCACTTAATTTTCAAGATTAGACTTCTACAGGAATAAAAGGGCAATTTCTTTACCACTATAATTCTCAAACTCTGAACATAAAGCTGAAAAAGTGTTAGGTTTTTAAAATCCGTATCTTTTTACTAGTCTTTAACACTGACAAAACAAATAATAATTTATATTTCTAAGTGTTTTTAATGGGATGTTGTAATTATAATTACTAAGGTTATCCTTAAAAGAGGAGTTGAAAAGATGCACCTCTACCCCTTTGAAAATGTGGGGGACTATGGATGTAGAATATGGTACATACTGTCAGACAGTGGATGTGTTGGTTGGTTTTGCTGAACACTTTTTTTTTCTTTTTTAAAAATCTTTGTTAAAGAATGGCTTGCTTGGCAGGGGAAGGGAGGACATATACAAAATGAAGACACAAAAGCAAGAGCTATCAATAAAGATTTTTCAAAAGTGTATTCCTGTTTGGCCCGGCTTAACTTTAATACTGAATATACTCTTTACAACTTGACATATAATAAATGTTCTCATTTTAACAGATTATTATATATTATTTAATCTATAATATGAGCTACATCATAGAATCTTAAGAGCTGAATCTAAATATCATCTAGTCTAACCTTGAACTCAATGCACAAATCTCCCCTCTGACATATCCTGCAGACTGATTTTTCAAGCTTTTTAGCATGAACATTTCCAGAACAGTTCATTACCCCCCAAAATAATCCATGTTATTTTCAGTTGGGTATTTGAAAGTACTTTCTTAGTCAAAATCTGTCTCTCCATAATTTTTACCCACTGAGTCAGTCCTCTGAAATTGTATGGAAAACATCTAATTCCTTTTCCCTACAATCTATCGTCACATATTTGGAAATAGCTATGAAATCCTTTAGGTTTTCTCCTCTCCAGGAAAAACAGCCCTGATGCCTTCAACCAACCCTCCTATGACATGTTACCAAGACTCTTCACCATCCTAGATACACCTATGCTGGATATGTTTAAGTTTCTCAAAGTCCCTCTTAAAACACGGCCCATTGGAATGAACCCCAGGTATAGTGTGATACGACACACAGTAATAGGCAAAAAAGAAAAAGAGTCGAGGCATGGTGATGCATGTCTGTAATCTCTGCTGCAACTAGTGAATCACCTGAATTTGGGAGCTGAGCTATTATAGTAGGACTAAAGCTAAATGAAGGACCACACTAAGTCCAGAACAGTATGATACGCCCTTGGGAGCAGGTCACCAGGCTAACTAAGGAGGGGTGAATTAGTCCAGTTCAGAAAAATGGAGCAGGTTAAAGTTTCTATGCAGATTGGTATTGGGATCCAGCCCATGAGAGGATTCTGGAGCTCCAGCCTGAGGAAGATAGACTTCGTCTCAAAGGAAACAAACAAAAAACCAGTAGGATTATTACAGTGAATGACACCTGAGTATCAACTTATATCGAGCTTGTAATTTAAAACCTCTAAGGTTTTTATAGATTGCTGTTGTTGGCTCTTTCTCATCCTGTACATGTGCAGTTTGTTTTTTAGCCCAAGTGAAAGGTTTTACATTTGTATCTATTAAAGTTCATTTATCAGCTTGGTACATTATTATGGCCTATTGAGATCTTCTGAGACTCAATACTGTCATTTAATACACTGACTGATCCATGAATGAAACACTCCATCTCTCGGCTCCAGGCATCTTATCTGGTTGTCCCCCATGCCTGGGATGCTCTCCTTCCTCAACGATGATTACTGACCTCCCTGGCTTTCTTTGAGTCCCAGTTGAAGCCCCAACTAAAACTCTACCTTCTATAAGAAGCCTTCCCTGAACCCTTTCCATTCCAGTGGCTTCCTGTAATAATTATTTCCTATTTATTCTGTATATGACTTGCTTTGTCTCTTTTTGTTTGCATGCTGTCTGCTCCAACAGATGGAAAGCTCTTTGAGGGCAGGGATTATCTTTTGCCTCTTTTTGTATCCTCAGTGCTTAGCACAGTACCTGGCACATACTAGGCACTTAGTAAATGTCTACAATTGACGACTGACAGATTAATTCACTGAATTTCTTCATGATGTGTCTTTCTGCATGAATGATAAGCAGGACTTCTCTACCTTCAATCAAACTATTCATGAACAAGATGGATTCCTGTGGCATGTCCTTGGAGATTTTTCTCTGCTGGCTGACAACAATCCTTTAAGAAATACTCTGGAGACATTATGTGGATACAGGTGTTCAACCAAAAAATATTTTCCATACTATATATTTTTGGGCAGTAATTTTTATACTTTCAGGGGACTAATTTTGCAGTTGTAATAAAATCAAATGATGATGATTTTATTTACCAGTGGACAATCAGGTACCTTACTGAGATCCACTCTACCACAACAATTCATTTGGCCTCATGCAACTTTTTTACTTTTAGCACCAAGGCATTACCTCTGTACAGAGACACTTTCAGTGATTAGGGCTAAGGAGAATCTGTAATCTTCCACAGATACTGCTTTTAGTAAGAATTTTTAGACACACAAACTCAGTGACAAATCAAACAGTATCTTTATAATATATATAACATAATATTATAACATTATATATAATTATATATAAATACAAACATATGTAATATATGTATGTATGTACATATGTGTGTGTACACACATAAAATTCTTGTAATACTCCTCCAAAACAAATTCCAGAATTATATGTTTCTCCTATGTCCTTAAATTGAGGGGGTGGAATATATATGTTCTCTATATATTATATAATGTATAATATAATATATATTTAATATTTCTAGACTTATTATGCAATTTCCACTGGAACGAGTGGTTTTAATTTTTCTAAATGAAGGAGCTTTTTGAGCCCCCAAAATTGGATTTCTAATGCAGTCCCAAGAAAATTTTATCAATATACTGCTCCCAAATGCTACATAATACGAAGTTAAAAACCTTAATCTATATCTCAAGCTTTAACATTCCTTAACTTTATTTTTGTATATATGGTTCTACCTTTCAACTACCAAAGAGTTTCAAAAGAAAAAAAGTATAAACAAGATTTTTATATGCATTGGATATAAATAGGGAATATGAAGTAAAAGCATGGTATGACATAAAGAACACTGGATTTGAAGTCAGGCGACCCGATTCTAGCATCATCTCAGTTATTAACTAGAAGTGTAACTTGGGCGAGTCCACCTCCCCTCTACATATTTTCCCTAACTTATAAAATGAAGGTGTTAGCTAAGATGATCTGAGTTTTCTTCTGTCTGCAAAATTCTATGTTGTTCTAGTGCATCACAAAGCAACACTGACTGAAATTCATTAGTACTACTTCTGATATATGACTTCAAATATTATCGTGAGCCTCAATCCTTCAAAACTCAAAAATGTTTTGTATATATGAAAGAAATATACTTTACTCTAAGCGTTGAGACTACTTGTTAAAATGGCAACTTTATTTAATGCCTGAAAATATTATTGTACCATATCTGTAATAATAAAGACTAAAAATAGTTTCCATCATTAAGTATACACCTCATAACTGAATTAGAATTAAATCAGCCTGAGGTATTGATTGGCAAAAGCAGTATGTCAACAAACTATATTCGAGGAGAAATACTGTATATCCAAGTCCCACCTGAACATCTGGAACTTTTACTCACTTTAAAACTGTCGTGATATCCAAAGATGGCTTGCTAGCAAGATGAGGAAGGAGATCTCCCATTATCTGCCATTTCTGCAGAGGGAGATTTTTAAATAGAAAGTTATATTTTTCTTATTTCCCACAGAAACCTTAAGTGTCAAAAATTCTTGTAATGCTCCCCCAAAACAAATTCCAGAATTTTACATTTCTACTATGTCCTTAATTGAGGGGGTGGAATATAAAGCTTTGAAAAAACAATCTTTGCACCTCAGGTTTGCATTCTATATAGATATTAAAATGGATGTTAATTTAAAAATAAATCCAAATTTCACCAAGTTATAGAAATATGAAACAAATCTACAAAGCCCAGAAGCTCAAATTATTTCTAAAAATGTTTTCATTACTAATGGATTTACTGGTATATACAATTTAGCCTTTTATATTATGATTTATAGCATGGAAACTATAATAATAGAATTAGAAAAAGAACAAATATAGTTAACAGGACACGAAAACTCGTATTATATTCCCTAGCCAGTTGCAATTTATTACAGCTTTGTTGAGATAGGAAGAGAAGACTGATACTCATATCATCAACCATTCCAGCCTCATTTTGACTAATGGGAGCATGATTTAGACCACTTAGAGTCAACATTACAGCTATGTGTACCTACAGTCAACTTTGTATGATACAGCTAAGAAATGGACAAAATGGGAATGAAGGGTCTTATCTTTTATTATTCTTGGCCCCTGTCAGTAGCAGTTCCTAGTTCAAAGGAAATGCAGTTCTTCTCCCTTGCTTTCCCCAGAAATCTGCAGATTCCTTAGTCTACTGAGGTGGGAGAGGGAGATCAGAACATGGCTAGAAGTCAAAAGAGTAGAATAGAGTACACAGAAGTCAAAAGAAAAGCATTTCTTTAATTCTAATCTCCAGCCAACTACCAGTGATAATGACTGCCAGGTTAGCTTCATATAAAATGTTTTTATTGTTATTCGTTCATGTCTGACTTCATGACGCCGTGGACCATAGCATATCAATATTGTCCAAGGGGTTTTCTTGGCAAAGATACTCGAGTGATTTGCCATTTCCTTCTCCAGTAGATTAAGGCAAACAGAGGTCAAGTGACTTGCCCAGGGTCACACAGCTAATAACTGTCTGAGACCAAATTTGAACTCAGGATTTTCCAACTCCAGCAGCATTCCATCCACTGAACCACTTAGCTGCCTCCTGGGCAAACAGAGGTTAAATGGCTTGCCTAGGGTCACACAGCTAATGAGTGTCTAAGGCCAGATTTATAGTCAGGTCTTCTTGACTCCAGGCCCAGCACTCTATCCACTGAGCCATCTAGCTGCTCCACTGCATGGTTTTGTTTTTCAGTTGTTTCAATTGTGTCCAACTCGTGATCCCAAAGATACTAAAGTGGTGTGCCATTTCCTTCACTAGCTCATTTTATAGATAAGGAACTGAGGCAAACATGGTTAAGTGTCACACAAGCCCAAAGTCATGCAGCTATTCATGCAGCCAGATTTGAACTCCTGAAGATTAGTCTTCCTGACTTCAAGGCTGACACTCTATCCACTGTGCCATCTAGCAGCAGCTGCCCTGCATATACATACACATACAAATACACACATACATATATATGCCCATGCGTAAACATGTGTATGTGTGTGTGTGTATATATATAGATATATATCTATCTATATCTATCTATATCTATATAGATAGATATAGATAGATATATATCTACAGAGCTATGAAGAGATTCATGTTGGTGTTTCTTATTAACACTATGGAAGACTTGAAAGAAAAATCATATTTACAAAAATGAGCCATGATATTTGGTGATTTAAATGTTTTATATGTTTTATAGCTTTCATTAACCTTTAATTACATTTAATATTAGTTTAGAAAATTTCATCTTAATTATTTATCAACATCATTATAACATCTGAAAGCAAAATTTCTTGATGCTAAACGATTATTCCTACCACAGCCTCCAGAAATTTGTACCAAAAGTTTAACACCCAACAACACAGTGATACCCCAGATTGATACTATTGTTGTCAGCAAAATAAAACACTGAAATACAGTACTTTGGTTTAGACAACACAAGTCCAACATTTTATTTCCAAATGTCAATGGAATTTGCTTCAGAGGAAGATATCAATTAGTTCATGTATGGTTACCAAAGAGCACAAGTAAGAGAATATTAAAGACACCAATTTCAAGATTATAGTATGCTCTATGTAGGTTCATATAACACACATGCCTCAGAAAATTTTAAATTACACATAGGTAGCAAAAACCAAATTTAAGCATATCTAGAGTAGAGCTTCTAGGATGGTGAAGGAGAATCGTGCCTCTAAAAATAAGGCATAACACTCCTGGAATATCCTCTGAACGTTCAGACCTGTTATTTTAAGTTAATGTTTTCTTTTATGTGGAGTTAACTAATTTTCACAATTTTAGCTGTTAACAGTCACAAAAATGGACTAACACTGAAGGTAGCAAAAAGCAGAAGGCAGGAAGATCCTGCAATCAAGAAAGAATGAATCAACAACACTTACTGATTATCCCCTATGCTGGAAGCCTGTGCCACAGATGTATTTCTATTTACCATGTTTATTATAATTCTGATTCATTTCAATCCTGAATGAAGTTACATACAACTACAAATGATGGGGTAAGTAAATCTTGAAAAATACCTTATGTATCTAAACCATTTGTGTACTGGTATACTAAAAAGCAAATCAATTCAAAATTTTAGGCTTCAATATGAGGTGTGGCTTTTAATCCTTGATCATATACATTCCTCATTTCCTTAGTTCCAGGAAAAATAGTATAAATGTTTAAGAACCTAATTAATGATTTCAATTACAAGTAGCAGCAGTGTACAAAATGGAAAGAGAAACAGAGAATTAGGCAGGTTCAAGTCCTGCCTCCATCCCCATAAAGCTGTATGACCCTTTATAGTCACTTTACCTCTCTGGGTCTCCATTTTTTTCATCTGTAATATGAAGATAATACTTGTTCTGCCTATTTCATGGGCTGTTAAGAGGATCAAAGGAGAAAAAGGACATCAAAGGGCTTTGTAAACAAACAAACAAATGAGGGATCATAGTATTAAAAACTGTTATTCAAATAACATTTACCTTTTCTGCAATACTATATAAAACTTCATCCATTTTCATACAAGTGGGGTCCCAATCATGTCCAAACCTAATAACAACAACCCGGTCCTCTTCTGAAAGAATAGCTTGATCTACCTGCCAACCATTGTGCAAATGTGGAAGCATGTACGACATCTTTAACAGTTAGCTGAGTCCTGCAGAAGAGAATCCACTTATTAAAAATCATGCTGTTTCTTATTGTCCGTCCCATTCCTACTAACATTAAGAAATAATCCTAGTAATAACAGACAATTGATACTTCAACCCAGACTAGTGAAAACCAAAATACTCCCCAATTCCCTCACCCTCCCAAAAAAAACCTCCCCACAACATCCCAACCATACCTATAATTCTTCTGCTACAAACTACACTCCTACAAATGGCCAAGTAAGACTCTCCTCCAAGGGCTTCTTAAATTTTTTCCACTCGAGACCCACTTTAAGAAGCATCTACACTAGACCATTTATGTATTGGAAGACTAAAGAACAAATCAATTCAAATTTTCAGTTTTAATATAAGACGCTGGCTTTTAATACTAGATCATATGCTTTTCTCATTCCCTTAATTCAAGGTCAAAAGTATAAATGTTTAAGAACCCAATTAATGACCTCAATTATAAGTAGGAGCAGAGTGCAATGATGCAAAAAGCAACAGAAAATTAGGAGATGCAAGTTCAAGTCTGACCTTCATCCCTATGTATCTGTGTGATCCTCCACAAGTCATTTTACTTCTCTGCAGTCTTTTAAACCAAAAGATAGCAGGAACGGCCCAGCAGCCGCGTCAGCAGCCCAGGCCTCTGACTGACCTCATGGGGGGGGGGGGTGACTAATACCGGTTTTCCTGAATCTGACGTCCTGTCCCGAGGGAGCAGTCGCCGGGTCTCCTCCGGGCCCGCCCTCCCCGGGCTTCCCGTCGCCTGCCTCGGCCCAAGCGAGACCCCAGGGGGCCGACAGCGGACAACACGCTCCCTTCCGGGCCCCCAAACCGAGGCCGCGCGCGCCCTCCAGGTCTCGCAGATTACAGGCCGGGCTGTAAGCGAAGCCGACCCTCGGGGGAAACGGCGAAGCGACGGAAACCCGCCGCGGGGCCAGGCCCTCACGAAAGGGGTCGCGCACAAACCTGCCGCCAAAGGGAGAAAACCCAGCTCCGGGAACCGCCACTGGAACCGCTGGCTCGACGTCTTCCCCGCCCCCCACCATTAGCGTGTGTGCGTGAGAACGCACGTGCGGGCGCGCCCCCGTCCCAGTCCCAGTCGAGGAGAACGCGCTCCCTGAAGGGGACGCGCGCGCGCGCATAAATCTCTCCTCGGAACTCTGTTTCTAACCTCGTCTGAGCTAGAGTGGTTGAGTCCGTTCCTATCCATTAACGGGTTTTTTGAGCACCAGCTAGGTGCTAGACCCCGGGAGGGCTCAAATGATGAATAAACCCTCTAGGAATTTACATTTCATTAACGTATTAAGGTTTGCAAAGCACTTTTCTCCCCGTAACAATCTCGTCAACCCTCTCGGTAAACACCTACTTTGTGACCTAGTGCTAAGGTCTGGGATACGAAGAAAGGAGAAAAACTTACCTGCCCTCAGGGTGCTCAAATTCTGCTGGGGAAGACAACACTCAAATGCCTCTACAAACAAGTTATATGCAGTATAAAAGAAGTTAATCTCGGAGGGAAGGCACTAGCAGCTGGATGCATAGAGGTGACATTTGCGATGAGCCTTGAAGGTAGCCGAGAAGGCAGAGGAGAGGAGGGAGAGTCAAACCAAAAATATAAGAACTAAACTTTCTTTGAATTGGTAAGGATAATCAGTAAGCATTCACATATTGTCTAATAACTTAAATTTCCTTAGTGTTTAAAGTTTACAAAGTACTTTTCCAACAACTCTATGAGGTAAATAATGAAAATATTATCCCCATTTTACAGATGAGGAAACTGGATGCTGAGAGTTTTTGGGCAAAGGTCAATGAAGAAAGAAACAAATGATTTTGTCTTTGGCATATATTACAGACAACTTGCACAGAAAGAAGAGCTAGAAGAGGAATTTGGGAAATAAATCATGAGACTGGCATAGAGGGAACTTCACTTATCCAGACTTTTAGTTAGTCAGTAACCATTTACTAAGTGCCTGTTATGTGCCCAGCATTGTGCTAGATGCAAGGAATAAAACAAAAAGCAAAAGACAATCCCTGACCTCAAGGAGCTCACCATCTGATGGGAGAGACAACATACAAACAAATACACACAAACTATATGCGGGATAAATAGTAAATAGTTATAGGAAAGGCTTCCTGTGGAAGGTGGGATTTTAGATGGAACTAGAAGGAAGCCAGGGAAGCTACAAGGTGGAGATGAGGAGGTAAAGCATTCCAGGGAATAGAGACAGCCAGAGAAAATGCCCAGCTGAAAGAATGGGTATCTTGTTGGTGGAAGAGCAAGGAGGCTGGTGTCATTGGATCAAAGTGACATGGGAAAGAGAGGGTGTTAAGTGATGGGGAAAGGTGTCCTAAGTTTTTAAGGCCTTTGAATGCCAAACAGAAGATTTTGTATTTGATCCTGGGAGTCAGAAGGAGCCACCATAGTTTATTGAGTATATGGGTGACATGGTCAGACAGTTCCACTGGCTAGAATTCTGTCTCTCTGCCAAAAGCAGAGCAGCTAGAGACTGCTTGAATTTGCTTAGTGGTAGTTTCATCCTTCTAAAAGTAGAGAAACCAACAGGGAGAAATTCTGTTTTTGGATTTGATTCTCACTAACAGGGAGGAACTGTTTGCTAGAGTAAAAATAATGAGATCCCTGAGGTAAAAGTTACCACTTTTTCCTACAGTTTGTGACAGAGAAGAGGAAATCCATCATAGTCTGACTTGTACTCTAGGTGTTTGAGAAAGCAGATTCAAAGGGTTCACAAGAAAGATAGGTAGAATACCATAGACGAAAATGCTATAGAAATAGTCAGCCTGGGGCGGGGGGGGGGGGAGGAGGGAGTTGCTTAGAAACAAAGAGAAACTCCTCATAAAAAAGGAAAATGAAACTTGTCTGAAGAGACTTATGTGGATACATTGGGAACTTATAACTTACATTTAAGAAGAAGTGTAGAGAAAGAAAATGGAAGCAGGGCAGAAAATGGAGGTTGAATATAAAGCACTGTGGTCCCGAAAAAATTACTTTGTTTATCAAGATTAATGACCTTTGCACAAGAAATGTCAGAACAAAAATGACTAAAAGGAAATTGATATCCAAGATAAGAAAGGAAATAGTAAAAGAGTACCTAATTGTACTTAATATATTTAAGTTACCTGACCCAGATGAACTATAGTGTCAGGTACTAAAAGAACTGGAAGATGTGATTACTAGCCTTAGGATTATTTGAAAGACCATGGAAAATGGGAAAGTTACCACTCCCTACATCAAAAAATTAGAGAAAGTCAAATATACCACTTTTCAAAATAGGAAAGAGAAGTGATCTGCAAACTATAGGTCAATGAACTTTATTTGAATTCTTTTGATAATTTTAGAATTGAAGAGGTGGTTGTCAAATACTTTTAAAAAGGGAAGTGGTGGTTACAAAGACCCAGCATGACTTCATCAAGAATAGGTCATATCCAAAAAAAGGAAAATGTTAGATGTTGGAGAGGATGGGAAAACTGGGACACTAATGCACTGTTGGCAAATTGTGAACTAATGCAACCATTCTGGAACTAACCCAAAGGACTATAAAACTGTGCAAACCCTTCGATCCAGCAATAGCACTGCTAGGTCTATATCCCAAAGACATCCAAAAAATAAGGGAAAAGGACGTATTTATAATATATAAATAAATATATACATATAAATATATATATATACATATATATATATATATATATATATATATAGCTCTTTTTGTGATAGCTAAGAATTAGAAATCAAAGGGATACCCATCAATTGGGGCTAACCAAGCTGTGGTATATGATTGTAATGGAATATTATTGTGCTATAAGAAATGACAAGCAGGTGTATGGACTGATGCTGAGTGAAGGGAACAGAACCAGGAGAACATTGTACACAGTAATAGCAATATTGTTCAACTGGTGAATGACTTAGTTATTCTCGATAACAGTGATCCAAGACAATCCCAAAGCACTAATGTTGAAGCATACTATCTTCCTCCAGAGAAAGAACTGATACTGACTGAATACAGACTGAAGTATGTAATTTTTTACTTTCTTTTTTTCTTTAATTCCAGTCTTCTGGAATAACTAACTGTTGCCCACAACGAGATTGTACACCGAATGGAGAGGCGTGAAATAACTTATGACATGGGCCAGGCGGAGTAGAATTACTGACTCAGTTTATTCATCTGAGGGCACAGAATATATAGGGAAGATCTAGCCTAACTTCAAAGAGTCCTCCCCGTGAGATACTCCCCAGAACATCTGCTGAGGATGTAACAATCATGAATTTCCTCCTTATCAGGGTTCCTAGATTGGGCTGTAGATTCCAAGGTTTTCCCAGGCGCCTTGGTGCCACCTGCATAGAGGAGTAAATATGTAAATCTAAGGTTCAAAGAGAGAGAAGGGATGTCTCAGAGACCTCTTTATCAGGAAGGAAGTTGGGGAGCCGTACCACTTAATCCCTGAGCCCTTTGGGGTGAAAGCCTGAGCAGAGGTCAAACTCTGCCTTGGATCTTAAACCCTTATCAGACTCTTAAGATCGGCCCTCAACAACTAACGGAAATGTTTTACATAATTGCACATCTATAACCTATATCTGATTGCTTACCATCTCAGAGAGGGAAGAGGGTAAGGAAGGAAGAAGGGAGGGAAAGAATTTGAGACTCAAAACTTAAAATAAAAATGTTTTTAAAATTTGGGGGAAAAAGAATAGGTCATGTCAAACTTCCTTTCTTGACAGGTCATTACTAAATAAGTAGATGAAGGGAATGCTGTAGCTAAAATTTGTCTAGATTTTAGCAAAGCTTTTGATTAAATATCTCATGTATTCCTATAGAGAAGATAGAGAGATTTGAACTAGATGATAATACATTTAGATGCAGAACTAGTTGAGTGGCCAGACTCAAAGATTAGTTGTTAATATCCAATGTCAATGTAGCAAGAGGTCTCCAAGGAGTACCTAAGGAATCTGTCCTCTGTCTGCTTTGTTCTGTGCTGTTTAAAATTTCTATCAGTGATTTAGATAAACATATAAGTAGCATACTTAAAAAATTTGCAAATGACAAAAATCTAAGAGAAGTAACCAATACATTAGATAATAGAGTTAGAGTTTAAAAAGTTCTTGATGGTCTGGATAATTGGGTTAAATCTAATAAAATAATATTCTACAGTGATAAATGTGAAGTCTTACATTGGGTACAAAAACATAATTAACTTCACAAGTACAAGATGGAGGAGGCCCAGTTAAAGAGCAGTTTTTCTGAAAAAGAACTGGAAATTTTACTGAACTACAGGTTCAGCATGAATCATCGGTGTGATATGGCAGCCATAAAGTCTAATTCAATCTTTGGCACCATTAATAGGCATAGTTTCTAAAAACAGGGAAGTGATACTCCTGCTGTACTCTACCCTCATTAGACCCTATCTGAAGTGTTTTGTCCAGTTCTGAGTGCCACAGTTTAAGAAGGATGTTGAGTGTCCAGAACTAGGTTGGCAGGCCTTGAACCCACGGAGGGGATCATTTGAAGGAATTGGGAATAGAAGACATTTTGGGAACATGATAGAAGAGAATATACAGGAAGGCAAGGTGATAGATATTGTCAAATCCTGCAGAGAGGTCCAAGAAGGAAGAAGATTGAGAAAAAGATCACTAGTTTTGGAAATTAAGAGATCATTGGTAACTTTGGAGAAGGATAGTTTCAGTTAAATAATGAGATCAGAAGCAAGATTGAAGAGGGTTTAGAAGAGAGTGAGAGGAGAGGAAATAGAAGCAGTAAGTGTATATGGCTTTCTCAAGGAGTTTAACACTGAAAGGGAACACAGATGGGCATACAGCTACTGAGGATGGATTGGATCAAATGAAGATATTTTTTAAGGATGAAGAGTCATTGGCATGTTTGTAAGCAGCAGAGAAAGAAAATATACAGGAACAGTTTGAGGATAAGAGAGAATGGATG